TTTAATTCATCTGGCAATAGCCCCACTAAAGTCTCTTACCATTGACCTTCTACCTCCTCATAATATGCATGTTATCTGTTTCCTAATCAAACCCAATGCCTCCCAGTGGACTCTGACTCAGAGCAACCTCATAGGGAAGAGCAGAACTGCGCCACAATTTCCAAGGCTGTGGTCTCAACCACCGCAGACTGCCACATCCTTCTCCTGTGGGGCAGCTGGTGGGTTTGAACCTGTCGGTTAGCTGATCACTTAACTCACTGTGTCACCAGGATTCATCTGCTTCCTCTAGCTAGAATTCAGTCACTACTAGTGCCCAGAACCTTTAGCCAAGCTCCTCTGGCTCCCATCTGATTTATCTTCCCTAAATTTCTCTTTTTTTTTTGCCCATCTAGAGACTTTTATTCAGGGTGAGGAAGGTAAACTCTGCTGGAGAGAGAAGGCAGGAGGCAGAAGGGAAGAGAGGAAGAGGAGGAGGAGGAAGGAGGAAGAAGGAGGAGGAGGAGGAAGAAGGAGGAAGAAAGAGGAAGGAGGAGGAAGGAGGAGGAAGGAGGAGGAAGAGGAAGAAGAAGAAGAAGAAGAAGAAGAAGAAGAAGAGCAGAGAGAGAAGAGGGCAGAAATGAGAGGAAGAGGAGACGAGCCCTAAATTTCTCTTTTCTCAACCATTTCCAAGTGTACTATCTGACTCATCTTCTTCATTACATTCTTCATGTCCTAAATTTGTTTGTAGAGTGGAACACAATTCCAAAATAAACCTGAAAAATAATGAGGATACATTGAAATCACCAACTAATCTCTCCTACCTTCTGTTCAAAGTGTTTGACTATCATCTTAGGGCATCCACGTCTAGTAACTACTGCCCCTCACCGTGAAGACAATTCTTTGCAACCAGTTAGGCTCCTACAGTTCCAGAATGATTTTAGACATCATCTAGTCTGACGCCAAGCCCTCGTTTTAGAAATCAATAAACTGAGCCTCAGAGAAGGTTTCCATTAAAAACCCTTCACCTGACTTCTCTTTCAACAGTTTAAAATGCTATTTTCTTTCCAATTATAGTCTACTTGCTACCACCTGAATTACTTTTTCAATTAACCTTTTTTAAAGGCAAGACAGTAATTAATGTACTGAGGTGGTTGTATTATTTCCTTAGGCTTTCTTTAGGGTTTTTATTCGCATGCTTTCAAGCTCCAAAATATACATGCATTGTAATTACATAACCATGAATGTGTAAGCACTTCCTGTAAATCAACATATTAGAGCACCCTGAGATGATACAGTGGCTTAGACCGGATTGGCAACCTTAATTCTAGTTCTGCTACAAATTAGCTGTGACCCTTTGAGCAAGTTGCTTCAGTTCTCTTTTTTCCCATGAAAGATAAGGAAGGTGGGCAGGATCTATGCTTTTCATCTTTCCCTGGAGTCGTTCAGAGCAAAGTTGAGGTCCAAGGACCTAAAGGAACCATGGGGGTTGCTCACTCATGACACAGTTGCACAAAAGAAAATACCAATTTTTCTCTGGGTTCATCCTGGGTTTCTTGTGCTTATCAGACGCTCTCAATGGCAGATACAAACATCTTCAACTAAAAATGGCAAAGTAAATTACTTTTAAACAGATTGTTTGAAAGACCAAAACAACAACAAAAAAACCACTTTAAACAAATTAGCCTATGAGTAATAAAGGAGTCCTAATGTGGTGCTATAGGATAACAATAACATGAGTAAATAGAGAAAAGAATAAAATTTTCAAAAGCACAAAGGTAGGAGTAGAGATAGAGGAAAGTAGGTTTGGCTCAAAGGAAAAGAAAATTAACATAAATATTAAACTAGATTTTGCTAGGGAACTGCTGTTTTGTATTAATCTGCTGAATCTGAATGTGCACAGATGCAAAGCACTCCCTCTGTCAAATTTCAGTTCTTGGAAAGACCAACGGCGCCAACACAGGGTTGGATTAGAGTTGGATTATAAGCATTTTGTTCTCCTTTATATTCACACTATGTACCTGACTAGACTATACTGCACACAGAACTCAGAGAGGTCCTTCAAGGTGTTTAAATTTCCTGATGCAGAATACAATAGCTTATTCAGCTGAATTCAACCAGTACACTTAAAAGGGTATTGTATTTCATTTCTAGTCTACAAGGACTGAAGTCAGACAGTCCTGCCAACTACTGCATCACAGCCTTGCTGTGTAACTAGCAAAGAAGCTATGAAGGGAAGTCAAAGGACCATAGACTTCGGGATTCCAGAGATGTGGTAATTTATACTGTACTCCTATGGAGAATTTAGGGAGAAAACTAAGGTTTTCTGCGCTCGCAAAGATTACAGCCTCAGAACACTATACACAGGATCACTATGAATCGAAACCCACTTGATGGCATTTAACAACAACAACAACACCGAAAACTTAAAATAGTATGTCAAGAAACTGAAATCCAAGTATGTGAAATATGGGAGGTTTGATGGACAGAAGAGAGCTGGCAGTTCTTGATTATTACCAGCCAAAGTGTTTACAGTAATCTCATTTATCTTTCTGCCTTGAAAAGTAAAATGGATTATTACCAAGATACATAAGGAGCTCTGGTAGCGTAGTGGTTACGAATCAGGCTGCGAACCGCAAGGTCAGCAGTTTGAAACTACCAGCCATTCCGCAGGAGAAAGATGAGGCGTTCTGCTCCCGGAAAGATTTACAGCCTCGGAAACCCTGTACAGGGTCGCTATGAGTCGGAACTGACTCCATGGCACCTAACAACAACAATCACATAAGAAAACGAGGTCCAACAAAGACATGTCATTTGTTCCAGATAACACAACCAATCAGTGAAGCAGCCCAGGGTCCAACCCAGGTGGGTAAACCCAAGCCCTTTTCAACGTATAACACTTACACATCAAGGCAGTTTGGAATGAGGCTGGGTATGGGGTCTAAATTTCACCTCTGCCACTAAACTGTTACATATAAGACAAAGCACTTCTCTTTCCTAAAGTTTTTCTACCTGTATGATGGAAGGAATGCAAGGGATCAACATGTTTTTGGTTTGAGGCCCTTTTGTGCGGTAGTCATCAGAATCCTTTGGGGCAGAAACGTTTTCTGTTAAACATATTCCCCTTCATGGCTTTTTGAAAATGATTTGAGAGTGGTGCCTTTGGCTATTAATGGAAATGTAAAAGATAGACATATTGTCACTAGGGTTCCAGTTCATCTATGGTGGTGGTGGTGGTGTGCCTTCCAGTCAGCTCCGACTCACAGTGTTTCCGAGGATGTAAATCTTTACAGAAACAGAAAGCCTCTTCTTTCTTCTACAGAGTAACTGGTAGAGTCAAACTGCTATCCTTGAGGTTAACAGCCCAGTTCATATATTTGTTGATATTGTTGTTAAGTGCCACTGAGTTAGTTCCGACTCATAGTGACCCTATATAGGGTTTCTAAGGAGCAGCTGGTAGCGTAGTGGTTACGAATCGGGCTGCTAACCTCAGGGTCAGCAGTTCGAAACTACCAGCTGTTCCGTGGGTGAAAGAGGAGGCTTTCTGCTCCCGTAAAGATTTACAGCCTCGGAAACCCTGTAGAGGGTTGCTATGAGTCGGCACATAACAACAACAACAACAAAGCCTTGTTTAGGGTGCCTTCAAAAACAAAAAGGTCCAATCAAAACATTGGCTTCAGAGGGGATAAGCTGGGCCAATTATATTCAAGCAGAGAGGTCAGCTCAGAAGTCTGTGGTGACTATTTTTGGAGATCCCAAAAGGACCATCTTGATAGATTTCCTTGCAGGTAAAGGATGATCATAGGGGTTATTATGAAGAAGTTTTATGATAATTGAAAACTGCATTGGTGAGAAAAAAGACCAGGAAAGTTGCACTTAAGAATTGTTTTCCAGCACAATGTACCTGCTCATTCTCCAAGGACAGAAAGGGTTAGCACATGAGAATTTTGCTGGGAAACATTCACCCACCTACCCTACAGCTCTGATCTTGCCCCCCTTCAGACTTCTTTTTGTTCCTTAAACTAAAAGAACATTTAAAAGCAACACAAGCTGAGGTACTCGAGGATGCCAAAATTTTGACATGGTGTAAATCGAACAGAGTAGAATTCTTTGGAAGCAGTTGACAGAGATAGAAACATTGCCTTCCGTAGTGCGTAGCCCTACGGAATGAAGAATATGTCGAGAAACAACAGCTTCACATTTTGATATTTTTTGCTAAATAAAGGCTTCGGTGATTTTATAGCAACACTTTCTGACTTACCCTCTTATTATACCCCTCAAATGGATCTGAGCAGAAAAGTTGAGATGGCTCCAAGCTCCCTCTCAGCAAGTTGAGGCAGAGAACCGGACCCTGTGGGGGGATCCTGGTGAAAGTTAAAAGACAACTTATTCGTGGATTCATGATTCCTACTTAGCTCGGTGCTTTGTACCCACCAGGTGCTCATAGTTTGAGAGGAATTATTTGTGTCCTGCATTACTTTAGCGACCTGCGTGGGCTGATCTGATAAGACAGAGTCTGTAAAGAGAAGTCCGTGCCATTAGAGAATCTAAAGCTTAGGGAATAAAATACCAGAGTTCAAACAGTTGGGACGCGGATATCCCCTACTCAGGCGGATATCCCAGATGTGGCCCGCCGTGCCAGGCCGGGAACCACTTCCTGGTCAGCATCTTCCGCCTCATCCACGCCCCCATTGCAGCGCTGAGTCCTCAGCACTTTAGTTTCTAGGGAAGATCTGTTCAACTCCTTGGTGAAAGCCCAATACGGCGTCGAGCGGCGGGGGAGGATCCCAGGAAAGATTTAAAACACAACGCTCTGGAACTCCAACTCCTCAGGCGCCTAGCCCGGCTTCCAGGGGTCGGGATCAGGGCATCCCCTGCGACTACAGGGAAGAGGCTCTGAGTCAGTTCGAGTCCCACCCGGGCAAATGCCCCGCTGGTGACCTAAGTGCTCCGCGCCCGCCCAATACTTTGTCCGACGTCGTCCGGCACCTGTCGAGCCCGAAGCCCGCAGGACCTTCGCTCACCTAGTTCCGGGGGCCGATAGCTTGTCTCCGATCTCCTGTGCTCAGCTCCTGCCGCCGTCTGAGACAGGACCACAGCCGCGGCCGCCGCCCACTTTCGGTTTCCCAGCACGGCTGAAGCCGCAGCTGCAGCGGCTGGGGAATCACCTCAAGCCCCCGCCCAATCCTGCCGGGTCCCGCCCCGCCCCGAGGGCAGGCCGATTGCAGCTCTGCGCACGCGCGGGGCCCTGGCCGCGTCGCCCCACGCCGGCGTCCTCGCGTGGGAAGGGAAACCGACGCCGCCTAGCGGTTTCTGCGCGTGTCCATGCACGGGTGGACAGCGAAAGACGAGCGAGGGCAAGCGTCTTGATGCCTTCTCGTGGGCAGCGCAACTACCGGTGGGGTCGGGAGGGCCCAGGACCTACCCGGGAACGTGGGCACCTCTTCACTGGCGCGTACGCGCTCCTACTATATAGCGAAGGAGCTCTGGTAGCATAGTGGTTACGAATTGGGTTGTTAACCTCATAGTCAGCAGTTCGAAACTACCAGTTCTTCCTCTGGAGAAAGATGAGGCTTTCTGCTCCCATAAAGATTTACAGCCTCGGAAACCCTATGCAGGGTAGCTATGAGTCGGAACCGACTCCATGGCACATAACAACAACAACAACATCCGCCCTTACAGACGTTTCCTTCATTTCTTATTCAGTCTTCCACATCTGGAGAGCCAAAAACCAAAACCAAGCCCACTGCCAGTAGATGGCAGCTCACAATGAACCTGTATAGGGTTTGTTGTTGTTGTTGTTGTTAAGTGCCGTCGAGTCGATTCCGACCCATAGCGACCCTGTATAGGGTTTCCGAGGGTGTAAATCTTTACGGGAGTAGAAAGCCTCATCTTTCTCCCGCGGAGCAGCTGGTAGTTTCGAACCACTGACCTTAAGGTTCGCAGCCCGATTCGTAACCACTACGCTACCAGGTTTAGGAGACTAAATCTTTACAGGAGCAGAAAGCTGCGGCTTTCTCCCACACAGCCAACTGTGCAAAAGTTAGCAACCTAGTGCCACCAGCAATACCAACATCTGGAGAAGATATGTTTTATTCTCCAACTCATTCATTTCCTTCACATCCTTACAGGGAGATCATAACTGACAATTTCACTGCCCTTCCCTGACATTCTCTATGAAACTTTTCTCTCGCTCCTTAACACCTGTGGTGGCGCTATGGACTGCAAACCGCAAGCTCAATGGTTGGAACTCACTAGTGATTCTATGGAAGAAAGCTAAGGCTGTACGCTCCTGTATAGATGTCCAGTCTTGGAAACCCCATATATAGGCTTGCTATGACTCAGAATTAACTCAGTGGCCGTGAGTTTGGTTTGGATTTTTGGTATCCTCCTAAGGGCGTTTTGGTGGTTCCGTGGTTGCAGAGTTCTTGCCTTCTTTGCTGGTTACCTGACTTAGAATCCAACTAATGTACCCCATGCACACTCACCTGACCTGCCTGCCTCCCAGAGGCTTGTGTGTTGCTATGATGCTGAACAGTGTCTAGTGGAGCTTCCAAACTAAGACAGACGTAAGAAGTAAGAACTGACAATCTGCTGCTGTAAATCAGTCAGTGAAAACCCCATGGCTTACAACAGTCTGATCCTCAGTCAGGCAATGTGTATTCCTGACAACATGGCAGCTAACAATCACTCCCACCCCACCCGCCTCCCCCATCCCAAAAGACAAACCCAAACCCATTGCCATCTGGTAGGTTCCTACTTGTAGAGATCCTAGATACAGGCTTTCTGAGGTTCTAAATTTTTACAGGAACAAAAAATTTCATCTTTTTCTCACAGAGCAGCTGATGGGTTTGGACTGCTGGCCTTTTGGTATACAACTAACAATGTCTTGTTAAAGCTCTGTGACCACAGGACTCTTAATTTTGTTCCCTAATCTATTTCCAGAGCCTAAGAAAGTGCCCTGGCACATGATCAGTATAAAATGTTTTTCAAATCCATTATTCTAATTAAATTACTGAACATCTAGTATTTATTTACATATTTCTGTTATGTACTTCATTCCCTGATCAACACTCACGGAAGCCACAGTCAAGAAATCAAATGATGTATTGCATTGGACAGATCTGCTGCGTTAAGACCTCTTGAATGTGTTAAAGGGTAAAGATGTCACTTTGAGGATGAAGGCATGCCTAACCCAACCCATGGTCACGTGCCTCAGATGCATAAGAAAGCTGTACAATGAATAAGGAAGACTAGAGAAGAATTGATGTCTTTGACTTAAAATATTGGCAAAGAATACTGAAAGTACTGTGAACTGCTAAATTTGTCTCAGTAGAAGTACAGACAGAATATGCCTTAGAAATATGAATGGCATGAGTTCATCTCATGTACTTTGGACATGATACTAGGAGGGACCAGTCCCTTGAAAACGACATCATGCTTGGTAAAGTAGAGCATCAGGAAACAAGAGGAAAACCCTTAATGAGCTGGATTGACAGAGTGGCTGCAACAATGGGTTCAAACATAGTAATTGTGCATGTAACTCAGGGCTGGGCAGTGTTTCCTTCTGTTGTCCACTGAGTTGTTGTGAGTTGGAACCAACTTGACGCACCTAACAGCAACAGCAACACTAGTTCAACATTCATTGAGCACCTGCTTTGTATTCTGTCAACCAACATTGAACACTTTACACATTCATTCTATATGCATTTTCTGTGAGGACCTACTGGTTAATCAACCAGTATTTTCATAGCTTTATTGAGGTATAAATGGCATACAATGAATTGTACACGTGTGAAGTATACAGTTTGATGTTCTGACCTGCTTATACACCTGTGAAACCATCACTGTAATCAAAAGTAATTAGCATTTATCACATCAAAAACTTTTCTCACGTCTTTGTAATCTCTATCTTCTGTCCCTCCCTTGTCCCCTGCTCCCTGAAGCACTAATCTGCTTTCTGTCACTATAATTTGCACTTCAAATGTTTTGTTTAAATGGAATGATGCTTATTTTATTTTATTTTTTTGACTGACTTCTTTCACTCAGCATCACTTTGAGGTTCATCCATGTTGTGTATATCAACAGTTTATTGCTTAGTAGATGCCATTGTATGGATGATCACATTCACGACTTGTGTTGTTTCCAGTTTGGAGCTATAATGAATAAAGAAATGGTAGATATTCAACCATTTCAAGAGGTCGCATATAATCAAGAACCGGTGAGATTGAAGGAAGAAGTCCAAGCTTTACTGAAGGCATTGGTGGAAAACAGGGCTCCAGGAATTGACAGAGTACAAATTGAGATATTACAACAAACTGCTGAAGCACTGGAGGAACATATTCATCTATGCCAAGAAATTTGGAAGACAGCAACGTGGCCAATCCTATTTGTGCCATTCCAAAGAGAGGGGACCCAACGGAATGTGGAAATCATTGGGCAATATCATTAATGATGCATGCAAGTAAATTTTTGCTGAAGATAATTTTAAAACAGCTGCAACAGTACATTGACAGAGAACTGCCAGAGGTTCAAACCAGATTCAGATAAGGAAGTGGAACCAGAGATACCATTGCTGACATCAGATGGAACTTGACTGAAAGCAGAGAATACCAAAAAGGTGTTTATTTGTACATTACTGACTATGCAAGGACTATTTTGACTGTGTGGACCATGACAAGCTATGGATAACATTGCAAAGAATGGGTATTCCAGAACACTTAATTGTGCTCATAAAGAACTTGGATATAGACCAAGAGGAAGTCATTCTAACAGAACAAGGGAATTGTGAATGGTTTAAAATCAGGGAAGGGATGCACCAGGGTTGTATTCTTTTATCATACTTCTTCATCCAGTATGCTGAGCAAATAATCCAAGAAGCTGGATTATAGGAAGAAGAATAGGGTATCAGGATTGGAGGAAAGCTCATTAGCAACCTGCAATATGTAAATGATACCACCTTGCTTGCTGAAAGTGCAGAGGAGTTAAAATACTTACTGATGAAGATTCAAAGACCACAATCTTCAATACAGATTATACCTTAATGTAAAGAAAACAAAAATCCTCACAACGACCAATGTATAATGTCATGATGAGTGGAAAAAGATTGAAGTTGTCAAAATATTTAATTTTGCTTGGTTCCACAATCAATTCATAGAAGCAACAGCCAAGAAATCAAATGATGTATTACACTAGGCAACTCTGCTGCACATGAACTCTTTAAAAGTGTTCATGATATCAGTTTGTTCAAAGATACCAGTTTGAGGACCAAGGTGCACCTGACTCAAGATATGGTATTTTCAGTAGCTTCATATGAAGAATTGATGCTTTTGAGTTATGGTGTTAGAGGAGAATATTGAAAGTACCATGGGTTGTCAAAAGAACAAACAGATCTGTGTTGGAAGAAGTGCAGTCAGAGTGCTCCTTGGGGGCCTGGATGGCCAAACTTCATCTCTCATACTTAAGACATGTTGTCAGGAGGGACCAGTCACTGAAGAAAGATATCATGTTTGGTAAGGGGGAGGGTCAGAAATAAAGAGGAAGACCCCCAGCGAGATGGATTGGCAAAGTGGCAGCATTGATGGGCTCAAGCGTGGCAACAATTGTGAGGTTGGCCCAAGACCAGGCAGTGTTTTGTTCTGTTGTGCATAGGGTTGCTATGAGTCAGTACCAACTTGGTGACACCTAACAACAACAACAACAACATATGCATGTGAAAGTTTGACAGTGAATAAGGAAGACCACAGAAGAACTAATGCATTTCAGTTATGATGCTGAAGAAAATTTAAAGTACCATGGACTGCCAGAAGAACAACAATAAAAAAATCTGTTGGAAGAAGTACAGCCAGAACACTCCTTAGAAGTAAGCATGTCAAGACTTCACTTCTTTCAAACTTTGAATATGTTACCAGGAGAGGCCTGTCCCTAGAGAAGGACATCATGCTTGATAAAGTGGAAGGTCAGTGAAAAAGAGGAAACTGCCAACAAAATGGATGGGCATAGTGGCAGTAGCAATGGGCTCAAATGTAACAACAATTATGAGGATGACGTAGGACCAGGCAATGTTTCATCCTGTTGTGCATAGGGTTACTATGAGTCAGAACTGACTCTATAGCACTTAAGAACAATAACAATATTCATATACATCTTTGTGTGGTCATATATTTTTACTGTATAGTTTGTAGAATTGCTAGTTCTACTGGTGTATTTTTTTTTTA